ACACCAATGATGGGGCACCATTCCTCCCACTGATACCAATGATGGGGCACCATTCCTCCCACTGATACCAATGATGGGGCACTATTCCTCCCACTGATACCAATGATGGGGCACTATTCCTCCCACTGATACCAATGATGGGGCACTATTCCTGCCACTGATACCAATGATGGGGCACTATTCCTCCCACTGACACCAATGATGGAGCACTATTCCTCCACTGATACTAATGATAGGGCACTATTCCTGCCACTAATGCCAATGATGGGGCACTATTCCTGCCACTAATACCAATGATGGGGCACTATTCCTCCCACTGACATCAATGATGGGGCACTATTCCTCCCACTGATACCAATGATGGGGCACTATTCCTTCCACTGATACCAATGATGGGGCACTATTCCTCCCACTGACACCAATGATGGGGCACTATTCCTCCCACTGACATCAATGATGGGGCACTATTCCTCCCACTGGTGTGCATTGGAAGAGGGGTAGTCTTATACGGCGAGTATAGCCCAAACACTACATTTTAGCAGGAAAAGTAGGGGGGTCGTCTTATACGCCCAGTCGTCTTATACGCCGGCAAATACGGTATATTCATTTTTAAAAACTGCACGTTTCGGTTTTCGGCCAAGTGCATTTTGAATTTTCGGTTTTGGCACCGGAATTTATAATTCACACACACCTACCTTCCACAGCCATTATAAAGGTGGTGGATCTTTTCTGTTTCAATTAACTTGATATTCTCGTGGGAAAGGATTCTGAGATAGGATGGAGATCTGGGAATTACTATGGGTACTCTCTCACAATTAGTTTTCTCATTGGGATTAAGCCAGTCAGTCAAGTCAATGACATTTTTAATTAGTTTATTGTATGAAGATCATCTTTCTAATACTTTTTTAATGTGCAGTTCAAAGGTGCTTGATATCTATACCAAGTTTTTAGATTAAAAACCAGTCTATATCCACAGCTGTCCAACCTTTAAAGTTTCGGAGGGATGACCTTCTCTATTAAATGTGAATTTTGGGGATGGAGCTCTGTGCAGGGCAGATATGTCCTCTCACTGATGGCAGTTATCTTCCCCAGAAGCATACAGGGAAGGATAAAGAACAATGGAAATGATTTGGGAAGTGTTGCATTGGATACATGGTGGTTTTTTGTTTTTTTGTTAATTTGCATTATTTCTTTACCATATAAGAATATAATGAACAAGCAAATCATGTCAATGGTTTTTATCCCTTTTTGTTCAGAATTCTGCTGCCCACAAGCCCTTTCACCTGTTTAGTCACTCGTATTCTCTGCTGCCTCCCACACAGGAGACGTGGCGTTCCCACCTGTCGCGCAATCTCAAACCTTCAATAGAAATAATGAAAGCTCTGAGGTCTTACTGAAGTATAAAGTGTACTTCTTACTTTTTTTTTTTTTTCTTTTTCGCCATAACAAATGACTCCGTTTTTTGTTTTTTTTTTTTGCACCACGCAGTTCATATCTCTGCATTTTAGTATGGCTTGTTTTAAAATGATTCGAAGAAGTTTCTTTTGAGATGGAGAATGGAAAAATAGATTCATGAGGTAAAATACCAATATATGGGAAACATATTTTATATAGTAAAATGTGACTTTTAATGTGAGCAAATTCCCATTCCACACCTGTGTAGCATTTGTAAACTGAACATTCTGATGGCAGAAAGTCTCCTGAGGTAAAGCAACAGATGCCACTGAAATAACACGATCAGCTTGGTGAATGGGTCCTCCAGTCAGGCACATACAGTTTTTGGTCAGAACACTTCCCCGCTGTGCCTCTGCAATCCTCAATGCCGCTTCCTCTTGTCTTTGCATGAGCTGACATGTTCTGGCCTCTTTGATGAGGAAGCTGCGGCCTTTATCATGTCAGGGTTGTCTGCTGCAGAGAGTGATGGGTTATGTGCTTTAGTCCACCCCCACAGCTGTGCATGCCTCACAGATGGCCGGAGGAGACCAGATCCAGGCCTTCTGCTCCTTTCCAGGCCTCATGTTCTGTTGCATCTAGATAAAGATTCTGCTTGCATGCTTTCTGGAGTCTCAGAGATGTGAATAGAATGCAGCAGATCTTCAGCTGATTTTGCTTCCATTAAATTAGAACTTCATTACGTTTAAAGATTTGGGGAAGTACAATGTGTGCCTGTCAGCCTTATTCATCCTACTGTGTTTAAAATTCGTCCTGTCTATTTTAAATGTATAAAAAAATGTTTTTTATAGTCCATTTTCCGTCTTTTTGACCATGCTTGTTATCCAAGTTTCAGGATTCGGACAGAATTTTTTTTTTTTTCTTTTTTGTAAAAAGACAAATGGTCTTTTAAGAACTTATTGACATGGGTGCAGCGGCCTGTACAGCCCTGTACAGCCGTGTTTATGCGCCTGGGAGTTGCAGGTGTAAGATGCAGCAAGCAGCCTGTTTGTAATCAATGATAGGAGCAGCTGTAGGAATCTTCCCACACGTCCCAAGTGTTTACGTTCATACAGGGTTGGATGCACAGTCCTGGATGCAGTCTGTGTCCAGGGCCATGCATCCGTCCCTGCGTGAATGTAAACACTCATAAGCAGGAAAATCTGTAGAGAGGCTGCATCTTTCAGCCTTTCGTTGATTTTAAACTTGCTGCTGGAGGTGTCTGCATGGAACATTTGCCACCACCAGGCACATAAACGCACCATATGGGCCTCTGCATTGGCATGAATGATGAATAAACATTTATAATACATGGCAGTTTTTAAAATAACCTTCTTTATGGCCCCATAGTGCAAGCTTTACTCGCTTTTTCTTAAGAGACAGAGGTGTCACATTTTGAGAGATAAATATAAATATATATATATATATATATATATATATATATATATATATATATATATATAAAAATAAATAATTGTGCCTTCCATCTATATAATAAATATGCTATCATTTTGTGTGTACAGCTGCCCAGAGAACAATAGTTCTCATTGCCCATAGCAATCATATTCCTGTTCATGATTTCTTACTTGGGACTTGTTCAGACCAGCACATTTTCAGCTCAGAAAATTTGATTTGAACTCCTGCCCTTATTTAGAAATGAAGCCGGTACGCTTTGTACTAAAGTGTTTTTGGAGGCAGGCTTTCTCAACCAGGGTTCCTAAAGGGATTTGTATGGGTTCTTCGCGCAATTTATTTCCCAACCACGATGACTGCCAATGTAAAGGGTCAATTTTCTGCTGACCTTTTTAAGGGGTCATGTCTACTTTGAGCACCAGTGCAAGGGGGCATTTCAAAAGGATCACCAAAGCAAAGGGGTATGTATCCACTGACCACCACCATTGTAAGGATACATTTCTCTTCTGACTGCCATTTGTAAGGAGACCTTTCTCTGACAACCAATGTAAGGTGGCACCAATGGAAGGAGGCGTTTCTCCCCTGGCCGCCAATGGAAGGAGGCGTTTCTCCCCTGGCCGCCAATGGAAGGAGGCGTTTCTCCCCTGGCCGCCAATGGAAGGAGGCGTTTCTCCCCTGGCCGCCAATGGAAGGAGGCGTTTTCCCCTGGCCGCCAATGGAAGGAGGCGTTTCTCCCCTGGCCGCCAATGGAAGGAGGCGTTTCTCCCCTGGCCGCCAATGGAAGGAGGCGTTTCGTTTTCCCCTGGCCGCCAATGGAAGGAGGCGTTTCTCCCCTGGCCGCCAATGGAAGGAGGCGTTTCTCCCCTGGCCGCCAATGGAAGGAGGCGTTTCTCCCCTGGCCGCCAATGGAAGGAGGCGTTTCTCCCCTGGCCGCCAATGGAAGGAGGCGTTTCTCCCCTGGCCGCCAATGGAAGGAGGCGTTTCTCCCCTGGCCGCCAATGGAAGGAAGGCGTTTCTCCCCTGGCCGCCAATGGAAGGAGGCGTTTCTCCCCTGGCCGCCAATGGAAGGAGGCGTTTCTCCCCTGGCCGCCAATGGAAGGAGGCGTTTCTCCAATGCTTCTTTCATACTTTTAAAAGGTTTTTCTCCAGGGTAAAAAGGTTGAGAAATGATGATCTACATGTAGCAGTCTGGTTACTCCTTCCTTAGGGTAATGATGGGGATTCTCAAAGGACAACTTAATTCATCCAAACTGCACCTGAAAAGCCATTTTGACCCTCAGGGACCAGGTCTGAATAAGGGCTCTCTTTAGCCACTTTAACAATATGATAGGTTAAAATGGGTATTGTTGCCCATTTTACCAAGATAATCTGGTTGCTGCACTTGTTTATTCCTTCAGATGCAGAGTCATCAAGAAGCTGTTTTGCGTCCTGAATTGTACCAGTGCCCCATGAGTCATATGTTGAATTAGGCTTAAGCAGTTTTATCCCTAAACTTGTAGTTCTGACGAAAAAAAAAAAAAAACTTCCATAAGGATATCAAAAGCAACAAGGCAATAGTAGTAGTTTTTATGACGCGTGTGTTATTTGATCAGGTGTATTATGGAAACATAATAATAAAGACAATTTATTTTTGCTAGAGGGATCACTTCTAGGCCTTGTTCACACAGGGCGTACATAAGCAATACCCCTGTGGCGGGCCATGTTTACCCTCATGGGAATGCGGAGGTATTCGGTGTATCCTTACACAGGCAGTCACATTGCTCTCAATTGGGACACAGCGACTGGCTGGACACATCCTCTTCTAATGTGACATCCATGTGGGTGCATGGCCCCAAATGCACCCACTGTCCGTGCAGCTGCTGCATCACAATTGACAGCAATGGGACTGCCTGCATGGGGGTGCATGGAACAGCTGTCCATCCCCATTCAGCAATACACAAGGTCAGCCTTTTAAAATGTACGGCGTGTCTGTAAGCAAGCAATTGATGCATGTATCCAAGTGACTTCTGCGTTGGCAGGCAGCATACTATAGCATTGTGACGGAAGAATAAAAAGCAGCATATAGAAATTCTTTCTGTGTATGTCTGTTATGTGACTTCTCATTGCAACAATCCATTAATCTTTACTTTTCTGTTTCTCCCTTTGCCATCATTAAGTGGCTAAAAGCCAAGGTAAGAGGTGCTCTTTCTCATTTAAACCCAAACACTCAGTAACCGAGGCTGCTGCATCGCTATCAGTCCATTACAACTTCCATCCTTTCCTCCTTCCTCTCCTTTTTGGCTGTTGCTCAGGATACATAGTTCATTTGTCTGTCCAGAGTGATGTGGCAATATATCATCGATGTATTGACACCATAGTAGTAACGCCATCTAATCCTAGCGCTTTCCTCATTTTATAGATTTCTGCTTTCTTGACTTGCATTTTATGGAAGGCTTCCCAGACAACTGGTTTCATCTCTGTATATGACATAAGGCTCTTTAGACAGATGCTTAAGGGTGTGTGCTATGTTTTTCTCTTAATGGTTGATTCATAATATATTAAAAAAAAATTAGATCATTGTGTTCTAATAAAATTGGCTTTTTTTCCTTAATATTTATAGAATTTGCAAGCAGCCTTACAATGTTATAGCATTATATGGCCTTTTTTATGTTTTTCATGTAGTACTGCTACTTGCAGGTTGAGAGGTGGTACTACATTCATTAAAGGTGTTGCAATCTGAGTAAAGTAGATGCCTGGGCAAAAATCATTTTCAGTATATCTCTGCAATACAGGGGTGGACTGACAACTCATGGGGCCCCCGGGCAATAGGGGATCATGGGGCCCCTCTATCCTTGCCCAAACTCAAAGCCTATGAAAAAGGTACCAGGGGCATCTCATGGGGCCCCCTACTGACCCGGGTCCTCGGGCAGTGCTGAGTTTCCAAATGGTCAGTCCGCCCCTGCTGCAATAAATGTACATTTTCCTTGGTTTTGCCTTTTTTTTTTTTTTTTTTTTTTTTTTTTTTAAATTTTGCAAGTACAGAAGAATACCCAATGAATCTGCCATAGAAACACAGTGTGCACCTATCATCCTGTTCAGGTGAATGCTACCTCTGCTGCTCTGAAATGCCCAGTAGTGTTCACTGGATTATAGAACCTCCCCATTTCTATTAGAGATGAAGAGATTGGTGGGTGTTCTATAGTCCAGAAGGGAGAACTGGACAGGGTTGACAACAGTAGTTGGGAATTCAATAGGGCAGTCAATGTGTTGTCAGCTGAAACAGGATCTTAGCTCACTGGATTTATGACAGATCAGCATGCATTTTTCTGTACGCACAATGGTTTGGTTTTTTTTTTTTTTTTTTTGCTCAGACAATTATATTAAACTTGCTTCCACAAATACTTTTGCTTTACAGAACCAGAAATAAGTTCTTTCCCCATAATTCACAATAGGAAAGTATGAATACCTTTAATTTTAACTTATTATTTTATTTTTTTATGGAGCTCTGTTAAAGGCAGAATCCTAAATAATCATGATAAAACCTTAAAATGAGTAGATGCCTATGTGATCCACTTGTTGAGCTGTGTCTGGGAATCCTAACATTTTTTTTTTAATGAGATTTAGTTTGTTATTATTGTATTGACAGATGTTTGGTGGAATATTGACTGATTTCTTTTTTTTAATCCAGCATGGAGGAAACCAGGCAGCAAGGACTGGCACTTTGACTCGAACAAATCCACCTACCCAGAAGCCACCCAGTCCACCGATGCCAGGACGGGGTACATTGGGGTATGTAACTTTGCTTAACATTTTAGAGTGTGGTTACATACACTCCTGCCTGGAGTGTAACCTGAATTAAAATGAGGGATGTCAGGTTACACTCCAGGCAAAACTCTAAATTAAATAATAAATTTTATTCAATGGATATCAGCCCACTTCTTTGGGGGCATTCGATTTTTCATCAATGTGTTGCTGTAGTACATCATGCCAGCATGCTTTGGTGCTGCCAGAGATAACCTTGTTGCCTGTAAATGTGGCATTCTGGCAACATCTACTTTTTCGAATGCAGAGTGGAATTACCAGATCGGTCCCCATGGTTTTTGTCTGCAAGGTATTCCCGCCACCAACGCGCTTCTTTCTGTTTTTGAGCCCCCTTTCCCTGCACTGGTCCTAGTTCCCTCTATTGGCTCTGACCCTCTGCTTCGGTTAATATGATGGATGAGTACCTGACATCGAACTTGGACTATAAACTGAATGGACATTCTGAATGGAGTTTCTGCCCTGAGGACTGCTTAGGCTCATATGGTTTTGCTTTTTGTCAAGTGAATCTGAAAATCTCAACTACAGAACCCTGAGATTACTTAAATTTCTTCTAACTGCAGGGAGCTGTTATTGGGTGGAAGCGCAGCAGATAACATATGACATCAGAATGAGGTTAGCCTGTTGTCATCCTTAGGGTTCACTACACCTTAACTTCCAGAAGGTACAAAAACACAAATAAATGTAGTTCTGTAATCCCTAATCATTAAGGCTACTTTTCACACTGACCCGTCGCAAAAAATGCATATGTGTTTTCGATCTTAACCTCTTCCATACAGGGCACTTTTACCCCCTTCCTGCCCAGGGCATTTTTCAGGTTTTCAGCGCTCTCACACTTTGAATGACAATTGCGCGGTCATACAACATTGTACCCAAACTAAAATTTTATCATTTTCTTAACACAACTAGAGCTTTCTTTTGCTGGTATTTAATCAACACTGGGGTTTTTATTTTTTGCTAAATTAACAGAAAGACAGAAAATTTTGAAAAAAAAAACCCCACGTTTTTCTTTGTTTCTGTTATAAAAGTTTGCAAATAAATATTTGTTCTTCATAAATTTAGGCCAAGATGTATTCTGCTACATGTCTTTGGTGAAAATAACCCAAATTAGGATGTATTTGTATATGGTACATATCTGAATATTGATCAATCCTGAAGTACTGACAGCCAATCTAATTTCTTAAGGTCCAAGAATGTCAGAACAGTACAGATATATTTTTTGTGTTTGTTGTGTTTTTTTTGTCATTTTCGGAAAATGAGAAAAAAATTATTTTCACTAGTTTTTTTTTTTTTTTACATACTGTCATCAGTGCAGTACAGCATTATCATATAACTGGCTTGGCGGTGATCAGGGACACTTACTGGTGACAGTATGGAAAAAAAAATATTTTTTTTAATTTTTTTATTTTAATTTTTTTATTACATTTTTTTTCTTTTTCTTAAGATTTTTTTTCATATTTCACTATGACCGAAGTAGTACAATGTTACTATAGTAACATTGTACTACTTTGGGGAAGTGGTCAGTATTTTTTTTTTACACAATTTGCTTATAGCAAAGAATTACTTTGGTATAAGCAAGCATTTACCTGAATGACATCGATTCATTCAGGAGTTTTTTTTTTTTTTTTTTTTTTTTTTTTTTTTTTTTTTTTGTGCTTAGCTGTGATTTGGCCATGGATAATCACATGACACAGCTGGGCTGTGATGGCCCAGCTTGTGCATGTGATCGCTGTGACCATTCACAGCTAGGCACACTAGTATACAATAGATGGCATGAATGAAGCCATCTATTGTATACAACTGTCATGTGACCTGCTGTGCTTGGTCACTGCAGGTCACATGGTATCGGCAATGGGGCCGGTACTCAGATCTGTAATTGGCCGTGTCCGAGGTACATGGCCGGTGACAGATGGCGCTGCGGCGCGGCTCTGCAGGCGTGCAAACTGCGCATGCCTGGGAGGATGCCATATGGCGTCCATCCGGAACGCTGAGGGACTTTGCCGGCCGCCAAACGGCCATTCGCCGGGCGGCAAAAGGTTAAACACAGGGGGTATAAGTACCTGCCTCCTTACCTTTTTATAGCCGAGCTCAGACTGGGGAAGGGAGGGACAGTACTGGGAAGTCTGTTCAGTGTCACATGTAAATGTGGTGACAAGAAACATGCTGATAGGAGGAGAACATACAGGGATGACCTCATCAATCTTGCTGCTGTTTCAGTGTCCAGTCAGAACGTTTGGGGTGGAGGGAGAACACCAATTTATTCCACCTGGCTGTGCTGTGTGGCAGATTTGTGTAAATCCCAGAATTGGATGGACAAATACATAGATGAAATACATACATGGGAGCAGTTTTACCTGCTAAACGATTTTTATGTGACAGTCTAGCTTATAGTGTTACTAAACCCATGACCCTGTAATCACTATATCTGGTCTCCCACAGTACACACAACTTGGAAATGCAATTATTTTGGGAGGTATAAAACTGCAAAATACCTTTTCTCATCAGCAGTATATAGCAGTCTTGTGACTTCTATTAGTGTCCAGTAGATCACTGGCTAAAGCTTGCAAAAGCAGCTTTATTCTCCTTTAATTGTCCTATGAGGATGCAGGACCCCTAACCCTCTGTCTGGACAGTGCTGATTGGCCCTGTGCTGATCACATGCACCCTCCTAAGGAAAAAAAATCCCAAAAAACCTCTCTAGCAATACACACCAAACTAAGCCTGTGCAGCTTGCTCCCAAGGCTCTGTTCTATCGAGGATGGATTGGGGACAGTAGAAGGGAAGGATCAGAGAAAACAGGATCAAACATCCTTTACACAATGTGGTGGATTAACCCCTTAGATTCCATATAGAGATAGAGATATATATATATAAATATTTCATAGGTGAGCCTGCATATTTATGAAACTATATGACTATATATTCAGGTACTTGTATAAACCTAGTTGTGGCTGGTTCTTTTTAATGTTAATAAACCCTACAAGAGCTTCCTTTTTTATTATGACATAAATAATCATAGGCTTACAACAGTTGTGAAGCATGAATGTCCATTACCCTGAGCTTAAAAGAAAACCACTTTGGTTCTTTCAGAGAACAGTAGGGTGTAGGCCAAAGTTATCCGACCTCCCCACCGATGGACTTTTCTTTCTCAAGATCTGTCAGCAGGAGATCATCCCAAAGTCCTGTTACAGTTCAGTGATGATCATCTGATGTCGTTTTTTTATTGCAGTGATATTTGCCAGCTAAAGATGTGTGCGTTTTTCTTTTTACAGGAGAAATACCCCGTACAAAACTCTGGAGCCCGTTAAACCTCCAACGGTTCCAAATGATTACATGACCAGTCCAGCAAGGCTCGGAAGTCAGCACAGTCCTGGTAGAACTGCTTCTTTGAACCAGAGGCCAAGAACGCACAGGTAATGGCTTCTAGCCCAGTGTACAGTGGCACTGATGAAGGTTTTGTATCTGCAGCATTAGAGGTTTTGCTAGATTGCCTACTATTTGGACCATATTTAGGGTGTAACATAAAGCATGGTTGCATACTCCATTCCCAAAATGCATGCCACCCCTCCCCCTCACCTCAAACATGGGGTGCTTATAGTGTGCAGTTTTTTTTTTTTTTTTTTTTAAATTTTAGCGTGGCTGTGCGCAAACATGGAAATTAATTAACATTTTTCTATTTTAATGATGTATATGCATTTATAATTTTAAAAAAAAATTAAAAAAAAATGTGTAATTCTAATGTGAAAGTACATGTTTCATGAGCCTAAAAAAAAGAAAATCTTCCTGTCACTGGATTGGAATAATTTGACTCCTGAGCCAATGGAAAAAAAAATATATACAGCCATTACTGAGCTCTTCTGAAAATGCTAGTTGCTTGTCTGTCTTCAGATATTAGTTTCCCTGACCTGGAACAAGTATACAGCCAGTGGACACTTTTTTATATACATATTTATTCCAGGTCAAGATGCTAGCATTTTAAAAGGGTTGGTTGTAAAGGTAGAAGGTTTTTTTTTTTTTTACTTTTACTGCAATCTATACACTAAGGTAAAAAAAAAAACTTGTATGCAGCCCCCTAAATACATACCTGAGCCAGATCTCGATGCAGCAATTGTCTTTCAGATTTTTCGCTGCTCATTGGCTCCGATACAGCAGCAGTAGCCATTGGCTCCTGCTGCTGTGATTCGGAGCTAGTGACAGTTTGTTTTACGCTGTTTTCTGGACACAGAGCATGCTTGGGAGTGAGCACACATGAGTGCCCGAATAGCAGGCGGCTTGTTATGGGGGCACTTGGTGGGGTGGTCGAGCCAGGAGCACCAGCGGGGGGACCCTAGAAGAGGAGGAGGATTGGGGCTGCTGTGTGCAAAACCACTTCACAAAGCTGGTGAGTATAACCTGTTTATTTAAAAGAACAAAAAAAAAAAAGCTGCGCAAAGAAACAGAAGCTGGCAATGACAGACTATATTCCTCCCAGTACAGGTTTCCCTTGGGGCTTGTGTATATGGGTATTGGCTAAGCACTGCTTTTCACCTTGTACCAGTCATTGCAATGCAAATCAACCTGATGTAGGTCAGAGAGACTCCAAAGAATCTCCATGCTAGCTTTAAAGGATAAGTTCACCTTTCATAACATGTTATGAATGGACCAGCCCCAGCTCCTCTATGCTCCCCATTGTGACCCCGCTAGCTGGGGATCTTCTCCTCCCAGACAGCTGTAACAATTTAAAAAAAACAAAAAAACAAAACGTGGCCACGCGGGATTCCACCCGCCTGGCCGTGTCATTGTTTCACAGTGTTCTATGAATTAACGACCAGTCCTGACAGCCTTTGCGGCTGTTGGCTTGTAGTTCTCAATAAACTACCACGTCGCTGTAGAGCACCGTGGTGGTTCAATGATTCGTCCTGTCGTATATCTGCTTGCCCAGTCAAGCAGATATACTGACAGGTCTGCAGGACAGGCCGCTGCCAAAAAAAATAATAAAATGCACTTTTTTTCTTTTTAACCTGCAAAAAATGTGCCTTTATTTTTTGTAAAAAGGTGAACTTTCACCTTTTTAGCTGATTTCCAACTGCGCTATAGCAGAAGGACGGCTACAGCGCAGATGTGTAATCCTGGGACAATGTCAATGGATGTCATTCCAGGACACGCACCCCCAGTGGTACCCACCCGGCCCTGCCAGTGATCGCTGTGTCTTATGGACAGCTGATCACAGGATACGGTAAATGGCCAATCACGGCAGCTTTTTAGCACGTGATCAGCTGTGTCCAATGACACAACGATCACTGGGTAAATACAGTTGCCAGTTATCGGCTGCACTTTCCTCACGCTGTGACAGTGTGAGGAAAGTACTGCCAAAAACCGGCAATTGTCAACGAAGGGATTGGCACTGATCATCAGGGCACTAATGATCAGTGCTGGAAAAAAATTACCGGTTTGCAAAATTTTATAATGGATACAAAGAAAAACTTTTTTTTTTGTTTATAGCGTAAAAAATAAAATGCTTAGTGGCGTTTTAAATACCACCAAAAGAGCTCGATTTGTGTGGAAAAAAAATGATAAAAATGTCATATGGGTATAGTGTTGCATGACTGCGCAATTATCAAAGTGCGACAGCGCTGAAAGGTGAAAATTGGCCTGGGCAGGAAGTGGTTAAATAATAGGATCCATTTACCTAGGACATCTTCCAGTGCTGAAAGGTGAAAATTGGCATGGGCAGGACGGGGGTAGAAGTGCCCGGTAGGCAAGTGGTTAAAGTAGAACTAATTACTCTTAAACACATTTCTGTAGTAATGTTTCTTGGGGCTTTTAACAAGGTTGGTTTCACTGGTTGCAATCAAATTGTGGATGCACACCCTATTTCAGAAGGGCACGTTCCTAGGGTGATAGCATTATTCTGCAGAGACTCATGGGTGATGGAGTGTTGTCACTCCTAGGAGTGCAAGCTTAATGAAAAGGCAAGGTCACCAGGTCTAAAATGAAGATGCTTGCCTATGTGAAAGCACAGCTAGTACTGCAAATGGATAAGCTATCCTTTTTAATGATTTTCTTTTTTGTGTAGATAATAGATTTAGATAATTTTGATGCTCTGGAAAACGTGTTGCATTCTCTCATCTACAAGGCTCATCATTTACTTTGATGTATAATACTTGGTTCTACATTGTAACGTGCAGCAGTTTTGAGCTGCGTTTATTTTTTTTTTTTAATTTTCTATTTAAATCTTTTATATTGTGTTAACAGTGGCAGCAGTGGAGGGAGTGGCAGTCGAGAAAACAGTGGCAGTAGCAGTATTGGCATTCCAATTGCTGTTCCTACACCTTCCCCACCAACTGTTGGACCAGGTAAGGCTTGTCATATATATATATATAATTTTTTTTCTTTTTTTTTTTACTGAGCCATTTGTAAGATATATAGAGCACAGGATTGGTACATACAGTATATAGTTCATCTGTGTCAGATTAGTTTGTTGTAAGTAAGCTGTTTCACTTTTTATAGAAATGTAAGCCAATGATATTTAGTACTTATTAGGAACAAAGTAAGCCTGACCTGGTGTTTGGGGCTCACAAACCACCTTGTGTTGCACTGTGCAGGATGGTGACACTTTTTCATAGTAGTAAAACTGTGCAAGGACAATAAACATTAACCATTTTAGTAATTGTATTGTGTGTGCAGGCACATAGTGTGGCCTTACACAAAATTGTTGTTGCCTTGTCCTAGATGTGTTAACTTTACCTCATTTTTAGCTCATTCATGACACTACAATATTTAACTTGATATATAATATGCTTTAGCTGACTTTTAAAAATGCATGTGTCTAGAAAATAACTGAGCAGTTAAGTAGGGTGGTTGCCCATTGCAACAAATTGTGTACATTGAATCTCTAAACTATTTCTGTTTAAATGGCCAATTAAAGCCCCGTTACCGCAGAGCCTCCTTAACCAGTCCTCACTGTTTCAGATAATCTTAAGCTCCTCCATTGGGGTTTTGGGGTCTCGTAATGATTATCATGTTCTGAGTCTTCAAAGAGTCACTTGAAAAGTTTTTTTTTGTGTTCTGACAATGCACATTATTTCACTACCCAAACTCCCCCAGGTATCTCTGGTGGTCCTACACACCTTCACCTTCACCACCACCACCACCTCCTCCTCCTCCGCCACCTCCCCCTCCTCCAGGTGAGACTTCCACAACATGGAGTATGGGTGACTTCTTACATTAATCAATTCATGGTGGTTTCAAGGTGTTCCAATAATTGTAGATTCATTTTCTGGTGTTTAATGATCCATAGGTGATTCTCACACAGTACTTATCATGTATCTCTAATCCATGTAATGTCATCTAATGTAAAAAAAAAAAAAAAAAGCCTCTGAAGTGAAATAGAATAATTTTTCCTAATACGTCTTCTAGTTGCAGATATATTACTATATTTTTTCCACAACTTACATACTTTGTAACTTGCACATACATAATATTTTTGTGTAGACCAGACCTATCATATGTCTTTGGGCCACATTGCAGCCTTATTCTAACTTAAAGTGTAAAGTAATAATATATATATATATATATATATATATATATATATATATATATATATACATACACACACACAATTTTTTTTTTTTTTTTTTTTTTTTTTTTTAAACAAACTTGTTCTTACCTGTTCTTTGCAATTGTTTTGCATGGAGCAGCCTAGATCCTCCTCTGGGGTCCTCCACTGGCACCCTGGGCTCCTCCTGTTCTCTGTGTGCCACCATAAGAAGCTGCTTCCTTTGGTGGCACACGTGCAGGCCAATCGTGAGCTGCTGTGTGTGTGTGTCCATTGACACACCCAGTGTGGCTCAAACAGCCAACCCGTTCCCTCCTCACTGGGTTTGATTGACAGAAGTAGGAGCCAAAGGCTCCCGCCGCTCTCATTGAGTCCAGTGATGAGGGAGAGAGAAGGCAACGCCGGATTGAGATCAGGCTCAGGGAAGTATTTGGGGTGACTGCAGGGACGCCAACAATAGAAGGGTTTTTTATACTTTTTAATGCAGCGAATGTATTAAGGTAAAAAACCTTAATACATTCGCCTCCATCTGTCACTCACAAAATTTGAGCAATAACTAGGCCGGAAGTGATATTAATTTTTTTTTTTTATTTTAGATCTTATAGGCTAGAACAGACTAGAATGTGTTTACAAGTACCACTGTGAATGGTGTATGCATGGAAGAAATTGCCAACCCAGTTCATACCACAGAAATGCATTCCGAATACGTTGCTTGCAGTTCACACCACACTCTGTTCCGGTGCAGTTTTGATGCAGTTTGCTTTGTTCCAGTACAGTTCTGTGCAGGCAAAAATGCAGCTTTTTTTTTTTTTTTTTTCTACACGGAAACTGACTTGAACTGACTGCATTGGTGTGAACTAGGGCCATTGGAATACATGGAAAAACACTGTGCATGCATTTTGTGATGCAGAAACAAAATGCACTGGACTGCATCTAGTGTGAACTAGCCCTTAAAGTGTGCTTTTCAGTTGGTATGTTAGTCACTAAGGCCTGTAGACATACAGTATATGTAATTAAGTGTAGCTCATAGAAGAACAAATGCAGCCCATTACTTATTTATCTTACTAACATGATGGGTGTAGAATATGGGTTTGGGTGGGCCATGTAAATGGAAAAGCCTGTTTTATAGACATTAGTAGCTTAATCACTTAAGCCATATTTCCCTGTGCAGCCATTCATTATTTACAGATAACTACAGAAAATGTCTTTATAGCCTGTAGAGTACACTGCCTAGCATACCATAATTAGAAAAGTGCTTGTAGGACCTAACTGAAATGCAAGCTCACCAACCCCCGTGAAACTCCCTGGATGTTGAATATGTATTGTTTTGTGCACTAGTCTATCTCTATAGAGGAAATGACATGAATGAAGGAGCCACTTCATATCTGAGTGCTTGACCAGACTTTCTCATCGACGGGGGTCTTTGTGTCCTGTAGTGGGTGAACCTATGCCAGTACATTAGGGTTTCACACTATCCAGTCTAAAGCTGCCCATATGTAAAGAGATCTGATCAGTATGAACCAAACAACCCCCCCCCCCCCCGTGTTCATTCATTCATTCCATGCATGGCAGTTGTCATCTCTATTCTTGAAGGCAACTTGTCCATTGCTCGTACCCATTTGCTTTTGTTTTTAGTATGAACAATATTGCAAGTGTGGCAGGGCAGCATTAGTCTTGTTTTATATTTGCGGTCGGTGAAGGCGTATAACTCTGCCAGTACCTTGTATACCGCTACCAGTAGTCCTCTTTCCTATAGGCACACATATACTAGATGTATACAGCATTCCAAATAAATTGCTACCTAAAAAATCTTGCATGGCAAGATCTGTAAAGGTGTAAATAACTACTGTATGTTCTGAGTATATTTTACACGCTGTCTTCCAAATTGATTTCCATGAAGCCTTTATTGAAGAATTTCACTAGGCATTCTTTGAAACATTTTTAACTGCATCCCCCCCAATGGATTTCATATCTCTAAGAGGTACATTCATGTCTGTGACTACTTGTGTGTCATAGAGGAGCATGTCTGTATACAGGAACACATAGCATTGCTCCCATGATGGATTGTGAACGTCCCTCCAGTGCTTTGTGTCATTCCTCTTAAAGTGGTGGTGGGAGCAGATACAGAATGTCTCTTCCGCCATTTCCCAGTGATCCTGATTAAGAACACTGCACCTCATATCCTTCGTGTCCATACAAAGCCGAGAGAATAGATAGTCATCAGAAGTTTGTATTGCTGTTTTGTGAAATATAAACCTTAATTTATATTTTTCCAGCCAAGCTTTGTTTCATTATTATGATCTTCTAAGGGCTTCCTTAAGTTACATTTCACTTTAGAGGCTTTGCTAAACATCCTGCAGACTTTCCTTGCCATCAGCTATTAGGTTTCAATCGAACATGGTTAATAAATAATGACACGTAACATTATTACCACTTCCGAGATGTATTATCCTGCAGTACATCTCACAGACAAATTAGATTGTGTTGAGCCAAATAATTGCAGAAACTGTTGTTTTTATCGTATGTTTGTTTTTTACTGAGGCAGTCCACATTTTAAAGACATTCTCCAGGAAAGAACATGGAACTCTTGAAGGGTGTTTTTGTGTTTTTTTTTTGTTTTTATCACTATAGATGAGGAAGGTGATACTATAGATCAGGGTTTCTTAACAAGGGCTCTATGGGGGTTCCTTAAACAATTAGCAATTTCTGCCTTGTCGGATAAGCTCCCACTGACACCTGTTCTCTTTTTTAGTATCTGTAAGGAGGTAGTTCTTCCCAATTACCCAAAGTGTAAGGATCATTCTTCCTACTGTCCATCACACCAAGTACCATGACTTGTAGTTATAGTTTTTTTTAACAGGGGTTTCCTTAGGCCTGAAAGTTATTTCAAGGGTTCCTCTGTGTTACAAATGTCGAGAGAGACTGCTATAGATGCTTGTTCAGTTTTATGTTTACCTTGGACAAGGAGATGGTTTACTTGCCAAACCTGAATCCATGTTAGGCCAACTGGATGGGCCTGAATGTCTGTCTGTACCTGAAGACATCTTAGGCTTAGATCACAAGACCATTGCCTAGACACCAGATATGATCGTACTGGTGAGAGAAGGTCAACATGGGAAGGTGTTACTGGTGCCTACGTATGCTTCATACTGCAGACATAAAACATTTCCATTCAGACTGAATTAGGAGATGCAGCATATCTGTTCAATGGCACGTATATTCCTCATGGTGATCATCCTGTGTATCTTGCTGGCTTCCTTCCTAAGCTCCTACACTAGCTTGTGGTCTTGTGCACTAAATGACCCCGGAATCTGAACCTGTGAAAGTGCGGAGAAAACATTTCCTGCTTCCACAGCCCCAATTCCTGGCAAGATTTAGACAGTTACACAGCTATACAATCCCCATTAAGAAGTGGAAAGAGTTCAGTTTTTCCTGGACAGTCTTTAAAATGAGGAAATATCCTGTTGTACTCAATTTTCTATGGGTCATCTTTTACATAAACTGCTACATTGTTAGCTTGGCAAGAAAGTGTACAGGAAGTTTTTACTCATCAAATGGAAAATATGATGTATTTTGCATGAAACTAAACCTGCTAATTCCAGACTTATTAATTTATTGGTGATGGATTAGAATTTGTGACCCATTCTGTTTTCTTATCTGCAATGATAATAATGTGCAAATAAAATGATTACTGAAGAATTAAAAACCAGTACTGAGTTGCAGTCCAGTATTTTTTTATTTTTTTTCTTGTGTATATCTCACATTTGGTGTAACATAGTGTAATCGGCATCCTTGCTGAATAATTGCTTTTGAGGTTGTGTTGCAGATGATCAGCCTGAAGAGTATATTGCATTAAGATATTTCACATGTTCAATGATGATTGCATTATTTTCAGTGCATCTTCATGAACTAACCTCACCACTTTCCTTTTTAGCTAGTAGCTGCATTGTGTGAGCAAACATGGCAAACCCCATGGTCACATATAATTTGGGAACGATCTATGGAACCACTTTTTTCAATAAAATAAACTAAAAATGTATCTTTTTAAAAAAAATTCAAAGATATATCTTATATCTGAATTTAGTGAGTTTATTGAACACAATCTTAGTAGTGAGTGTAAGTCCAGCTCCGGGAAGATAAGAAATACTACTATATTCAGCTATATATTCACAAACAATGGTTATGTGTACCTTTCCTTGGGACTCATGTAAACCCCTAGGAGTGGAAGAGGCAGCTAAATGAGCCACTCAGTGAATTTGCCTACAAGAAAGCACAGGGCCTGCCACCGGCTAGGACCAGGGTATATGAATTCGGGTGGAACTCCAAGAAAGACTGTTGACTTTTTTTTTTTTTGTGGGTCCAGATAAGCTACTCCTAAAGCTAGTTATACAAGGTCTGGGTGGCTGCTGGGGATGCTACAAATCTTAGTCCTCATGCACACTTGACATTTTTACAGCTTCTGTTTTTGGCTTTTGATGTTTTTTTTCTACAGCTAGTAAACCCCCCAGCATGTTCCCCTATGTGTCCATGCGCACACAGACTGCAATCAACGTTTTTTTGGCTGGGACATTTTATGGCTGGAAACTCCACATATCAGCGTTTTTGGACGTTTTTTTTTTTTTTTTTTGGTAGAAACAAACTCTAAAAGATGCCTCTCAAGGCTAATGCCAAAAATCTAAAAAAACTCACGTTTTTAATGTGACTTTAAACAGCTAACATTACCAGCGTTATGAAAACATCCCGTGTGCATGAGGACTTGGTTTTATTTATGCTGGATACTACAGTCAGTTGTGAGCTTCATGTGCAGAGACAGACCATGCCTCATAGTGCAGTGCAGGGATCGAGTTGTTTTTGCTCTCCTCCATTCATAAAAAGCTTCCTTTCATAAAATACATGTTCTGTGAATGGATGATGGGAAAGGAGGGCAGCTAAATGACAGGATCTTTCCTTGTCCATTCACAGAATGCCTTACTTTCTGTGAGACTTACAAATGGCTTTTTGTGAATGGACGAGGAGGGAGAAAGGGGCAAGCGAATGACTCGATCCCCCGCACTGCAATAAAGCGGAGCTGTAACTCGCAGTGCCTGAATCAGAGCACTGACAGTAGTCTTGGGCATGAAGACTAATAGGATTTTTAGCATCCTCAGCAGCAGGGCTGGTATAAAGGGTGGGCAAGAGGGGCAGCTGCCCAGGGCATAGTGGTAGAGAGTGGATGCTCCCTTACCGCACGCATCAGATCTGCTGAAACACCGTGCATGTGCAAACCTGCTTTCTACATGTTAGAAAGCTAGCAATTGACCATACATGTGTAGTGCACACTCTATGCCAACCTTGGGAAGCTGGAGCAAAGAGGGCAGAGAATGGAGACAAAAGTGGTACATCCGTTCTGTCATGCATTAGCAGTGCATAAGGGGGGTACAGTTCCACATTTTTGCCCTGGGCACGGGACAAACCTGTCCCGGTACTGCCCAGCAACCATCAAAACCTACCGTAACCAACCTTGGATGTAACTTACTTGTTCTCAGCAAAAGTAGAATTCCAGGTTGTTGGACAGTTTGAACAATTTGCTTATCTCAGTTTTTTATGTAGTGGTTTGCCTGGATTCTGCTTCTGTCTTAGAACCTTTCTCCTATGTATAGCTTTTGACTCTCTATATACCACAGGGTAGCCATGTTTGCCAATGACATATGCAGGCTGTTCTTTTTTTGTATTTGTGCTGCACACTGCTTGTGCTGTACTGCTTGGCTGGTTCATCACAAGTCGATGGGACAGCTTTGACCTCAATGAAAATTAAAACGCCCTCGACCCCTTTGAGTTTGTCATCGGGATCTTGAGCAGAGATGTGGATTGCTTGTGTTACACAGACAATTCTGAAATATAATAATTGAGTTTTGGAACAAGGAGCGAGTAAATATGTTAAAGTTGTACCAAAAATTAGATTTTGGTAAAGAGCCAATTCTGTAGAATTGCATTTTTTTTTCCAGACTTTCTCAATTGGCCACAGAATTTAGATGCTCTGCTCCTAAATAACAATTTAAATGTTGACTGGCTGCCATTGTGTTTCGAGACTTACATTTTTTTTTTTTTTTTTTTTTTAAATTTTGAACCTGGTTATATCTTCATTGATCATTTTGGATGTGTTATATGTACCTGGCATTTTGAGCAACCGTTGCAGATTTTGCATGCTAGAGCAACCTCCCGAGATGGTGACCCAGGTACAAAGCTCAAGCCTACTTTACACTGTATTATGAGTGGTGCATGCTACCTCTTGCGAAGTCAGTACACTTGTGACCATTGTGCCATCGTTGCTCAGCGTGACCTGCAAGTTTGGACAGCAGTTCATTTACATATGATGCCCGGAAGGTGACATCATACGGAGCAGAACTGCCAGATCATCATCTGAGTTTCTTGTCTGCAATATAGAAGGGCCTCGTTGACTGTAAGAAATCTTAGCGTTGCCTTGTGGAGGCTTTGCTTGGTGTGTCACTGCAATGCATAATAAAGTAACCCATTGCTTTGTGCGGCTCTCTTCGGCAAGCAGTTGGTGGTGGCTCGGCTCCAGGCTCCCAGTTTGGCTCAATGGCAAGGCAGATCTCTCGGCACAACTCCAATACATCCTCTGCTTCCTCCGGAGGATACAGGCGGACCCCCTCTGTGACTTCCCAGTTTTCTGGACAACCTCATATCAATGGCGGGCCTTTGTATTCACAGAACTCAAGTAAGCCTATGCTTTTTCCATCAATGTGTGAGTTACTGCATTCATGTTCTAGTCACCTCGTCGTGTATATGTCACATATATATTTACAGCACATCTGATACCTTCAGCAGACCCGTTGACTGTCTTTTTTTGTGTGTAAAGCTGAATTCCTGGCAGATTTGAAAAAAAAAAAAACAGTAAACAGTTTTTTTTTTTTTTTTTTTAAATTTTATTTAGGGCTTGTTCACACAGGATGCATTGGTACTGTACTTGGCAGCCCTTCTCAGAGCAGCCTAATGCATGGTTCCTATTGCATCAATTCATACCACATTGTGTTGGTGTGTGGTGCAAATAGGACTGCAATTTATGCATTCAGTCCTATTTTTTTTTTTTTTTTTTTTTTTCTTTTTTTTTTTTTCTTCACCGCAGTGCAGAGTGATACAGTACACTGCATCTCAGTTATTTCTAGTCTACTCATATTAATCCATACAATCTTGAAGTTTGTATGAGGATCCCTACATTTTCACCTTCTTGAATTCTGTGACATGTATTCATTATATCCTGTGAGTAGGCACTGCTGTGTCACACATTTCACAGAGTCTGCCTTCTGATCTACAGAGGTGCTGAGAGGAGGCGGAGTCAGTATAGCAGTCACTGCCTGCAGGCAGCAAGGTAACATGGGATATATAGTCCTTGGAAGCTGAAAGTAAACAGAACAGAGGAAATTGTATCTAAAAATCATATGTAAGGATTTGATACAATTTATCTGCTGCAGGCTCATACTTTGTTCATTAGAACAGAGGAAATGTTGCAAAGCATGCAGAGCATCCAGGAAGTTGTGGAAAGTGATGCCCAGCAGTCAGTCAGCACTCACAACATGAAAAGAGATTTTTAAAATAAACTTATATTGGATTGTCAAAAATGTAAAAAATATTTGTATTGCTATTGCAGTGCTGATGTTGTAAAATGAAAGGTGTACGCTGTGACTGTGGATCTCCTTGCCCTGGTTCACACTGATTCGAATCTGATGCATTCCAGAACGCATAGATTCGCATGGTAAGGGAGACAACACGGCTTCCTGAAGGAGGTCGTTCACACCTATGCGTTCAAACCTCAATGCCATTTACAAAAGGGTCCTTTGCGGGTTTGGTGCGATTTGGTACTAAATCTTCCTATTGTATATAAAGCTAAAGAAATTCTGGCAGGAGTTCTGCTTAAACTACGATGCTGAAGCAAGTCAAGTACAGCAGGTTTTTTAGCGGCTTTAAGGGAAACCTTTTTCATTTGAAATTGGTGGAAAAGCATTTTGAGATGTTCATCATGCATTCACATTGACTTCCATAGAAGGATGAAAGCAAAGCCACATGAGGTATGGCAAAAGCAGCAGGGAACTCAAGTGTGCACTCCTGGTTATACAAATTCAGAGTTCAAAATTTCCAAATCACACAAAGTCCTTTGTACAGTAGTCTGCTGAATTGTAAGAATGCGTGGGTATACTCTAGGGGCTTCACATATACATTCACATTAGTCCCTGCCCCCAAGGGGATTACAATCTAAGGTCCCTAACTCACATTCATACATACACACACTAGGGCCAATTTAGACATGATCCAATTAATCTACCACCATGTCTTTGGAGTGTGGGAGGAAACTGGAGTACCTGGAGGAAACCCACACAGGCACAGGGAGAACCTGCAAACTCCAGGCAGGTGGTGTCGTGGCTGGGATTCAAACCAACGACCCTAGTACTGCCAGGCGGAAGCGCTAACCATTTAGCCACTGTGCTGCCCCATTTATGAGTGTGCTTTGCATTAAAGAAACCCACTGCTTTGTGCTAGGTACCAAATTTTTTTTTTTTTTTTTTTTTTTTTTTGCGGTGGGGGTGTGTTCTGTTCACTGAGGTGCCATTTAAAGTAAAACCCAGAGGGAAAACTTTTTTGCCATATGCACAAAGGAAATATAATTATTCTATTGCCGGTTTGTTGCTGTTTACTATACAAATCTTAGTTTCTTATGCTAGCCATACACTAGTTGAAAAATCATTCAAACCCATATTTGAAAATACTAACACATGGTGAGAGCAAACAATATTGCCATCATGTAATGACCGAATTTCAAATGATATTCAATGGACATACGTGAATCAGTTTTTTGTTTTTTTTTTTTTTTATTTTTTGCTTCTGGGTCACATATGCGCTGTTCCAAAGGGCCAGAAACACGTTAGCCTTTCAATCTACCGTACATTCGGCAGACGTTTTCCAAACTTTTCCATTTTTTTGGGCTCAAAAACACCACTACCGGTTTTCGATCTGTGCCCATTAATTGGACGAAAAATGAACAAACTGTCCAAATGACAGATTTTCGAACAATTTTTCGTCTAGTTTATGGGCTCCATTACAGCCTGGGTACTATAGTCAGCAATTTAATTTTTAATTCCCCTGTAAATTTACTGTCCCTATTCTTCTTGCCTCATCCATTCACAAAAAGCCTCAAATTGTCACTAAACACACTGCTCTGTAAATGGAAAAAGGGAGACTGTTTACTTACCCCTGCCACTCCCTCTTGGTCCATTCATAGACTACCTTGTATTTGGTGAAAAAAAATACAGTGGTTGCCGTGAGGAAGATGGGAAAGTAAACATAATTACCTTTTTACTATACGACCACTGGAATGGTCTGGTGTAGCAAGGAAGAAATGCGTAGTCTATATTATCCATACTGTAAAACGAAGGATTGCACAGTAACCAACATCCAGCCGGCCATAGGATAGATAGCCGCAAGTGATTAATTTATTTTTTTTTTCCCCTGGAGTCACACTTCTGAATGAATGGCACTGCAGTATGTTTATTTGGTAATGCCTGTTTTACCACAATGCATAGGTGTGAATGGGACCCTATTGGTATTGGGCACTGAATGTTTCATCAGATTACTTTTCCCCGTGTTGTGATGGAGTCTGCAGTGTCTGTCTGATTCTGTGTTAGAGCGGTTGTCATGTGTTCATTTGTGGTGCTGACATGTGTCTGTGAAATTACTGTTGATAAGCTGCTTGCATCAAGGCCAGGCAGGTGTTCCGTGGGCTGAATCGTTCACAAGAATCCGACCTTCACATTCCTTAGGCTGAGCTCCAAGGTCTGCTTAAAACATAATAATCAATGCTGTATAGAAGGTCATTACCAGATCTCTTCTGTACTGCAATATGTACAGATACCACTCCAAGTAATTCCAATGTTCTCTCCACACCTCCGCTTTATCAAAGCCTATTCACTGCAGCATTTTATACAAACACGGAATGTACTCTGTGCTTGGGCACTTGCAGGGTTTCCAGTTTGGGATTGACCCTTTAGGTCACATGCATACCGGGTGTTTAGCCCCTGTGCAAGATATGCCACCATTTTCCATGGGGGTGGAAGGCACCATCCAGCCCTGCAGCCTGTAAAACTCTGAGGCCGACAGCTGCTGAGGCTGGACACTGTTCTGAGCGGTACTAACATTTAGGCCCCTTTCATGCGGGCATTCTGTTTTTTTCTCATCAGTTCAGTCATGTTTTTTCCAAGAAAAAAACTGATCCGTTCTCAGGAGGGTTTGGGTCCGTTCTCAGGAGGGTTTGGGTCCGTTCTCAGGAGGTTTGGGTCCGTTCTCAGGAGGGTTTGGGTCCGTTCTCAGGAGGGTTTGGGTCCGTTCTCAGGAGGGTTTGGGTCCGTTCTCAGGAGGGTTTGGGTCCGTTCTCAGGAGGGTTTGGGTCCGTTCTCAGGAGGGTTTGGGTCCGTTCTCAGGAGGGTTTGGGTCCGTTCTCAGGAGGGTTTGGGCCCGTTCTCAGGAGGGTTTGGGCCCGTTCTCAGGAGGGTTTGGGCCCGTTCTCAGGAGGGTTTGGGCCCGTTCTCAGGAGGGTTTGGGCCCGTTCTCAGGAGGGTTTGGGCCCGTTCTCAGGAGGGTTTGGGCCCGTTCTCAGGAGGGTTTGGGCCCGTTCTCAGGAGGGTTTGGGCCCGTTCTCAGGAGGGTTTGGGCCCGTTCTCAGGAGGGTTTGGGCCCGTTCTCAGGAGGGTTTGGGCCCGTTCTCAGGAGGGTTTGGGCCCGTTCTCAGGAGGGTTTGGGCCCGTTCTCAGGAGGGTTTGGGCCCGTTCTCAGGAGGGTTTGGGCCCGTTCCCACGAGGCCCCCGGGCCCGTTTACATTGGAAAGAAGAATAGGGGTTTGGATTTTGTCCCGTTTTTTTTTAATGGAAGAAGAATAGGGATCTCTTCTGTTCAAAAAAATGGATGTTAACTGATGCGGACATTACCGAATGTAAACAGATGATCATCTGTTTACATCTGCTAGTCCATAGAAATACATGGGTGTCTGTTTTTCATTCGTAAATGGACAGATGAAAAAACGGACATACGGGAACGCCCGGGTGAAAGAGGCCTTAGGGCAGTATGAACCCAGGGATGAATGCCTGGAATGTAGACTTCTTGCATTCCAACATTTGTCCCTGGGTGTATACTGCCTTGAATGTTAGTACCAGACAGCTTTCCTCCTTTCAGAGTTTTCCAAGCTGCCAGCAGCTAAGAAGTGTAAAATTTGAAGCCCAGCTGCAGGCACAAAAAAAAAAACAAAAAAAAAAAAAACGTATTAGAGCATTTATATACAGATTGGCTGAAAGGAAACCCTGGTCATGCTGGCCTTTTTCTACAGCTGTCATATCTGCTCTACATGTGGAGGGAAGTACAGCTCTTGCTGTACTATCTGTGCCTACTTGGATGAAAGCGCTGCAAGTATCCTAGACCTCCATGCTGTGGTACCGCATCTGCCTCCCTCTCCTGTCTATTTACAAAATCAAAGCCTGGGACTGTAATACAGATGGAGGAGAGGGAGGCCGAAATGCGGCTATAATGGTGAAGTCTATGAAACCTGCAGCCATTAGGTCTCAGTGGCCTGGAAGTACTGGCAAGCTGTACTTCCATCCTGCATGTAAAATGACTGCTGTAGAATGACGCCAGCTTGACCAAGATGTATTTTCTGCCAACAGAATGCATAACTACTTTAATACTGGTGAGTATTTGTTCCCAGAGTTGGGCCTTAAAAAAAAAAAAAAAAAAAAACTAAACCGAATAAGGCCTCGAGCACATTGGACTTTTTTTTCAGCTGCTCCTATCAGTGTCTGGCTTGTTTTTGTTTTTGTTTTTTGGGTTTTTGTTTTTTCCTTTTTTTTTTTTTTTTTTTGGTTTTTTTTTTTTTTTTTTTTTTTCCCTTTTTTTTTTTTTTTTTTTTCTCTTTCTGACTCTACGCCCCAGCATGTTCCTGTGTGTCCATACACACACAGGCTTTTAGAGGAGTTTAGAGGCAGGAGAAAAACCTCCACTGTCAGTACATCCAGGAGCAGCAGAGTTTTGTCAGAACAAACCCTTGACTCTTCCAAACACGTGTTCACGGTAGGAGCATTTAGCACTTTGGGCATTAATTCATTTCACTGAAATAAATTAACGCTAAACACTAAACATGCCTAAATGCATAACAAAGCGTCAAGCATTTTTTTTCTGCCAAAATGCCCCTGCCAGGTGGAAAGATGTCTAGAAGAACTTGTGAGGGGCCCATGCACACTAAAATGCAGTGCAGGAGAGCGGTTTTTCCCGCACCGCATTCCAGTCGCAAGGCCCTTACAATCTGCTGCGGGGGTCAGTTTCGAAGTTAAAACCCAAACACAGGTCGCAGGGCTTTTTTTTTTTTTTTTTTTTTTTTTTTTTAACCTGCACTGGATTGCATGGTACAAAATTACCCTGCAGTTGCTTTGTCTTTCAAAAAGTAGCGCATGTACTGCTTTTTGGTTCAGTTCAGTTTCATCCCATTAAAAACGAGTAGGGCTGATATTGCACTGCACAGAACTACATGTGAATTGCACAGCATTCCTGTACGATTCACCCTGCAGTTCCTAGTCTGAATGGGCACATAATGTTCTGTGTGCAAGCGACCTTAAGGCTACATACACATGGACACATTTGTCTGTGCAAAGTAGACTGGCTGCCAATATTTTATTTCTGCCCCAGATATCCTGATATTGTGCACAGCCACCTTCTCCCATGCATGTCTATGGGCGGCTGTACACCACTCAGGATATCTGGGGCAGATACATATGTGCCAGTATTAGCGCAAAGTAGCGCAAGTGCGCAGGCGCAATGTCCCAAGCGCAGGTAGGGAGTGTTTGAAACGCATCTACGTGCATGTGTTAATAGCAGGGCATAGCTGCGTACAGCCGCCTTCACCCATCCATGTCTATGGCCAGCTGTAAGCAGCTCCAGGGCATCCCGGACACCAGAATTATGCAGCATATTTACACCGATTTGGGCAAATGCACCCATGTGCGTGAAGTCGAATAACATGTCTCCAGATCTTTTTCAGCTGCTTGCTTTTCATGCTATATATAATTTTTAGCCGACAGTCATAAATGAAGGAGGGCTAAGTTTCAATAGGCTGCTTTTGTGCTACAGCACACCTTTTGTTTGCAAGATGTCATTAATAAGCCATTCCATAGAGAAGCCATCCAGTGTGTGGAGATGGATTTTGATTGCAATGATTTGTGCACAATGTACAGGTACAATAGCGACCCCTGCAGGAGCAAAGTGGGCATTGTGTCTGTATCAGAGGCCACATTTACTGTTTAACTTTGTTCTTACTAGCAGAGGATGTTCTTCCTTTCTTGTACTACTAAAGCAACTGAACTTTGTTTTCAGTGAAAATGGAAGTGAAATACAAGGTTTCTTTTTTTTCCTTTTAAGGACGGAGTATGTTTTAACACCCAAGATTTGTTTTCCCTGTTCCTAAAACCGCATGGTGTCTAGCCACACTCAAGGAGAAGCCACATTGTCCGGCATGTTCCACATGTGAACCTTCAAGTGGAGGAGTGCTTGGGAAGATGGCTCTGATTTCTGAACCTAGATAATCATTACGCTGAATTACCTTGTATGTCATTTCCGTTTTCCTGGAAAACAATGCATGATTTCACAAAATTAAATTGATATCACCGATTAGTAAAACTTTGTGATTTCACGTTGTTCCTTAATTCCTGTAATTGGTGTTTTTTGTTTTTTATTTTATTTTGTTGCTGCTTTTGTCTTTCGTTACTGACTTCTGCTTGTTGTCTCTTCTTTCCTCACTTGTTCTACGTGTCCACTGTTGGTGTCGCTGCTTCCAGTTTCTATCGCTTCTCCCCCCCCTCCCCCAATGCCTCAAATGACTCCACAGATACCTCTCACAGGCTTCGTGGCCAGGGTGCAGGAAAACAGTAAGTCCTTCCTCTCACTGCTAAGGAGCACCAAGCCTTTGCTCTCACTTGCATGGCCTAGCCAAGATGGCTGCAGAAGTGCTTCTGCCCTTCGCTGGTTCACGTTTTACAGGGCTGTTCTTCATACAAGGGTCCTACAACTGCATGAGATATGGCCTTTGTATGTATTAAAGGGTTGCTAAATTTAACACACAAATTAACTTGTATAAATAACTGTTCAAGCCAGTAACCAACAATCACAGACATCTAGGTCGACTTTTTATTGCCATATATTATCGTTTATTTTAAAAGTACTTACAATTATAATAATAATACAGGAGTTATATAGCGCCAACAGTTTGCACAGTGCTTTACAATATAAGGGAGACCATACAATTACAATACAGTTCAGTACAGAAGGAATAGGAGGGCCCAGCTCATGGAGCTTACAATCTAAAGGAAGGGGGAGGCGGTACAAAAGGTGATAGCTGCGGGGGGTGATCTGATGGAGGTGACTCAAGTACAGTTCTTAGGTGGACGTGGGGTAGGCAAAGATCGCCTAAAAGCAGACAGGGTGGGGGTTGATCGGACATGCTAGGGTAGGGAGATGCAGAGGATAGGAGAGGCTCTGCAGAAGTCCTGGAGGGCAGCGTGGGAGGAGGGGACAAGGGAGCTAGAGAGCAAGGTGTCTTGGGAGGAGAGCTTGATTTGGACAATATCTGCAGATGAGGTTGGTGATGTAGCTGGGGGCAATGTTGTGGATGGCTTTGTATGTGTGTGGTTAGTATTTTGAATTTTACTTAATGGGTAGGCTAGGAAAAACTGCTAACCTATGGGCAATTGCAGCTGCAGATGTGCTGACAAAACTTACACAGTGGGGTTTATTTACTAAAGCTGGTTCACTCTGAATCTCGTGCACTTCTGCATGGAAACGAATCCAGCTTCCAGGTTTTATTGCTAAAGCTTAATTGAACAACCTGAGGTTAGAAGCTGATTGGCTAATATGCACAGCTGCATGGGATTGAGTGAACCAGCCTTAGTACATCTCCCCCAGTGTCCTGGGAGAGCCAAAAGAGCGGGAACTTGTTTTTTATGAAAAAAAATCAACCAGCTCTTTTGTTTAGAGCTTTAGAGGAAGGGAGTCCGTCTCCCAAAACGTGTCGACCATTTCAACTGGGTTGTTGTTTCACAGGACCCCCATTGTCTGGGACTGAAATATTTGGCTCCACGTCTGTTTTTATGGCCCCTTTGTGAGTATGTACTTGTCACTTTTTTAAAATAAACGCGTCAAACGCGTCTCTTACCACGGTACTGCACGGTGAGAGTGCGCCATTTTGTCTTTTATTTTGTTATTACTAAGATTCTCCGAGGGCTGCACCCCAACAAGTGACAGACACCGGTTTTCACTGTGGAGCATGAAGATTTGAGTGCTGGTGATGTTTTTATTTTGATGGCCTATAATGCTGCCTATTGTGATGCAGACCCTCCAGCCTTGTTCACACAGGACGTGCTGAAGTGTACATCTGTGGAGAGCCATGCTTTCCTGCAGGGGGTGTACAGTTCCCTGAGACCATAAAATTATTTCAAAGGTTCCTTCCTTTTAAAAAGGTTGAGAATGGCTGGTCTAAATGAGCACAACACATTGTCTATCTTGGGCCTTGTTCACACAGCGCATACAAAAGCGTAAGCCCAGGGAGGCCATGTTTACCATCTACCTAGGGATGCACAGGTTTTTTGTGCATCCCCATGCAGGCACTTCATTGGTAGCAGCATCTGTGTCCATGCAGCCGCTGCATCCCAATGGAGATCAGTCTGACATAGGCGCCAAACACACACTGCCTGCATCTGGGCTATGCACCCACTTGCATGTCAGATTGGGAACAGCATCTTTGTACAGCCGTTGCATCCTAATTGACATCAATGGGACTGCCTGCACAGGGAACAAGGCCTCAGATATAGAATATGTTGGGGACACTCTTTAAACCTGCCTTTCTCAACCTTTTCAAAATGGAGGAACCCTTGAAATTTATGGTCTTTGGGAACCTCTGCTAAGATTATTCCATTGGGGGTGATTAGGAAAATGCCCTTTACATTGGTGGCCAGTGGGAAGATTGCCACCCTTACAGTTTGGTTGGAATGCCACCCTTACAGACAGCAAAAATTATATTTGGTATAAAGTTGCTGGCTCTGCCAAGTGGCAACTGACCTGGAACTATGAAGGCACCATCAGATGGGATCAGTCAGCCACTGCTAGCTCAAGGAACCCAAGGGATTTATGGAACCCTGGTTGAGAACAGCTGTTCCAAACTGTGGGAGGTGGTCAAGATGCGCATAACCAAGACTGTTTGTTTTTTCAGAGCTCCCAGGGCATTGTACAAGTTTTGTTGGTACTCGTGTCAACACTTCATGTAGTTGCTTTATCATTTTTATTGCATATTTAGTGCCTTTTTTTTCTTTACATGAAGCATAGAGCCAGCGTCTCTTCTTTAGCCAAGCAAGCATGTTCAGGCTGCAGAGAGGCTGACTCCACTATACCAGATCACGAATACAAAGCTTTATCAGATTTTAAAGTGTTTTTTAAAAAAAAAAGTTTACATAGATGTCTGTGGTGTTACTAACCGCTCTTCTATATACTCCAACTTCTGTTTCAGGTACATTAGTTGTTTTGCTCTTTTAGGTGATTGATTAATTCTAAAAAATTTGGTTTGCTTTAAGATGATTCCATTTTTCAGGGTTTTCAACAGTGCCGAAACCTTGTGGTTTTATACAGAATGTGTGTGTTTATTTTAATGACTGTAACCCCCAGAATTTTTTTGCTTATAGTCAGAGATCTGAAGAGCAAATAATCAGTTTCAATTAAGGGATTTTCAGGAAAACTAGAAATTTTATCTGCCCTGGACACCCCCCCCGTTGCCCCCTATCAAGTTACTTGTGTTTAACCACTTCCAGTCCGGACACTTTTACCCCCTTCCTGTCCAGGACAATTTTCAGCTATCAGTGCTATCACACTTTGAATGACAATTGAGCGGTCATGCAACACTGTACCCATATGAATTTTTTAGCATTTTTTTGAGACCAAAAAAAGCTTTATTTTGGTGGTATTTATTCACTGCTGGGATTTTTAATTTTTTTCGCTATGTAAATGAAAGTCCAAAAATTTTGAAAAAGTGTTTTTTCTTATAAAATTTTACAAATAGTATTTCATCATAAATCCTGGCCAACATTTATTCCGTTATATTTTTAGTAAAAAAAAAAACCCAAAATTAGTTTATAACCAAAAATTATAATTTTTAAACATTTTATTTTGACTTTTTTATATTTATTTTTTTTTTTTTACATACTGTCACCCTAACAGTACAGTGTCATCATGGTGACACTGTACTACTTGGGGGGGTGATGATTTTTTTTTTTTTTTTTTTTAATTTCTTTTAGTCTTTATGGGTGTAAAAGCAATCATTTCTCCTTCTCTCTAGCTGCATTCTTGTAGCCATTGAGAACTACTATGTGAGCTGTGATTGGTCACAGCTTGTCACATGGTACAAGGCTGTTGTGAATAGCCTTGTACCATGTGACTTCTGTGATCATTCACAGATTTCACACGTAGTAAGCAATGATGTCACAAATGACCTCTTGCTTACTACTCTGCATGTGATCACTGATTGGCCAATCAGTGATCACATGATCGGGACCTCGCACAGAGGTCCCGTCCGATCGGTGCTCCACTGTGTCCGGAGGACACAGCAGGCACCAGATTGTGGTGGGGCGCGCTCCCAGGGAGCGCGCACAAGCAGGGGGGGGGGGGTTGGGGGGGGGGGGGGGGGGGGGGGGGGGGGGGGGGGGGGGGGGGGGGGGGGGGGGGTAGGGGGGGGGGGGGGGGGGGGGGGGGGGGGGGGGGGGGGGGGGGGGGGGTGGTTTTTTTATGGGGGCGTTTAAAAACGGCCACCCGGCCATTTATATACAACGGCCGGACAGGAGATGGTTAAAGGATAAGTTCACCTTTTTGGAAAACATAATGCACTTTTTGCAGGAAATAAAAATGTGCAAATTTTTTTTTTTTTTTTTTTTTACTGCAGGAGCCTGGAAAGCATTGGACCTGTGATCAGTGGATCAGGGGTGCAATGTCAGGCTCCTACAGCCTGTAAGTCCATAACGGGCTGACTGTTTACAAGCTGTAGGCCTTGAGAATGAACTTTGAGGCCTCTTATTAGTGACCTTGCAGTTCATTCAGAACTACAAGCTGTCAGCCGCAATGGTGGACGATAGTTTAGTTCATCTGTTCACAGGAAACTGCATGAATGACACAGCCATGTGGGCGGAGCCATGCAGGGCTACACTGCTTTTGAATTGTAGAAGGTGGGCGCAGGGAGAGGATCCCCACCCACTGTCACACCAAGAGCGGCATAGCGGGGGAAGCTGCAGGAGCTGGAACATGTTAATGTTTCATCCTAAATATGGGTGGAACATGTTCCAGAAGGTGAACTTATTCTTTAATCAGAGAGATCTGTAATTCATTTTTACTTGTAGTAGGTTCTTTTGCTCCAAAGCATGTATTTCACTGGACTATAGTCTTCTACGCAATGACCGAGTCTTCCATTCCTCTTGGAAATCTAAAGTACAATTGAGTCCGCCGATGAGTGTAGCTACTCCTACTTTGAAGAATAAAAGCACACCATGCTAGTGACACCCCCCCCCCCCCCCCCAACTTAGTTTCACAATGAATGGGATTTTTAGATTGTCTGCACCTGCATGAACATTCAGGATTTATCTAGCATCAGTTGTCCGGGTCCATCAGGTAGGGAAATGGTCTATGAGAAGGTCATGGTGGCGAAGAAGTAGCTGGGCTTTACTTTTTATTTCATCCTGCAATATACAGTAAATTTGCTTAGTTTTTCAGAAATGGATTTAGTCTAAGTGTAAACCAAAATAAAAACAAATGGCAAATCATTGTGCTGTCTGCTGTGGCTGCATGTCCTTGAATGCATGTTTTATTCTGCTGCAGTAAATTAATTATTTAACCCTTCAATTTATGATTGTAGATTAGCATCATTCCAGACCTGTGTAGATCTAGAATATCTTAAAGGAAACCTCCACCTAATATGTCATGTTTTGGGTGGAAAGTGAGGACATTTTGTGTGCATCATCATACCATTGCAGCCTTGCTGTCTACAGCCAACACTGTGAAGTTCCTCTGACAATCTTATTGTACACATTTCTGCTGCTTGTCTCTTCTTACAGGATTCCTCATTACTGCCTAAGGTAACGAATCAACTGACTTTAAAAAAGGGTGAGGGAAAAATCAAAGGAGGAACATCACTGTGTTGTATTTCCAGACTGCAAAGGTAGTGAATCATTTTACCTACAGGCGGTCCCTGGCATCACCTCAGAAATTACTGTGGAAGTCTCCTTTAACTTCAGCAGTGGTTTTACTTATGACTTGATTATGGGTTCTAACAGAAGTGAAAGTATTAAAATGCGGGTTTTTAGTAATTTAAAATTATGTTTATATATTTTTTTTTCTCTCCCCTCCCTTAAGTTGCAGATAGCCCCACTCCTCCACCCCCGCCCCCACCTGACGAGATCCCAATGTATGATGAATCTCCTCCCCCTCCACCACCACCTCCGGTGGACTATGAGGATGAAGAGGCTGCTGTGGTTCAGTACAATGATCCATATGCTGATGGAGACCCTGTATGGGCCCCCAAGTCCTATATTGAGAAAGGTAAGCAAATATACAGCCTTGCTGGTAATTTTGTAGTCCTGTTACTGGTAAGTACTGTTGGTGACCAGTCTTTGGCTGTTGAGTTTGTCTCTAGAGGAATTGCAGTCTACTGTTACTACACAAAAAGGAGAGAGTTTGGGTCACTAAACAGATCAGCCACTGTTTTTTGTCATAAATTATATTTCTACATGCCTAATAATTTACTAGTAGGTGTAGTAGAGTAATAGAAAACCAGCAGACCCAACAGTCATGACATGCATGCTGCTGATTCTGTGTAATTGAATCATTCATTGAAAGGGCGTGTTCAAAATAATAAGCAAAAATTTCCAAATAGATGGAGTGTCCCTCTTTTGTTATTAGAGATACCTTGTCTATTTGGAGCTTTTTGCTTTTGAGCCTTTTGGACCATATAAGTTCCACTTTGGACCATACAAATACCCTGGTTACCGTGCTTCCTACTGTGGATCTGTAACTTTATTTAGCTGGCGGACATCGACACTCTTGATTGAGGGACCTCTTCCATTTGTGTTTTTGGACCTAATGCTCATGCTTTTTCATTGGCCTTCCATAGAGTCATTGATGTTACCAATGGAATTATATAATTTGTTTCTCCAACGCGTTTCACGGGACACAGCCTGCTTCTTCAAGGAGACAAAGTATATAATTCCATTGGTAACATCAATGACTCTATGGAAGGCTAGTGAAAAAGCATGAGCAAGTGGTCCCTCAATCAAGAGTATCGATGTCCGCCAGCTAAATAAAGTTACCAATCCATAGTAGGAAAGCACAGTAACCAGGGTATTTGTATGGTCCAAAGCGGAACTTATATGGCCCAAAAGGCTCCAAGCAAAAAGCTCCAAATAGACAAGGTATCTCTAATAACAAAGAGGGACACTCCTTCATCTGACAGAAATATTACTATCAGTCCTCTCCAGGATAGCTAAGATGCAGGCTGCGTTCATGAAACGCATTGGAGAAACAGTATCAACTTGGAATGATTATGCTAATTATGATATTTATGCTCTCTAAGGCCAGATTTTGTAATGTTGTTTTTCAGTCATGTTTGTTATAAGCATTTCATGCTTTTTAAGAGTAATGTATGTGTTCACATGCTATTTTTCATCACAATTGTGGTTCAATTTCATCAATAACGTGGTAACTGTTATAACATTTGGAATATATCAATTTTGTGATATGGTACCTTCAAAACTTCATTAGTTTTTCAGTTAGGGATATTATGTGTTGTGATGCTTATAATGAACCGTTTCTCTTAAGGCTTTTAAATACTTCGGAAACCCCATATGCTCGTGGCTTTTTTCAACCTTGTTTAGCTGTAGTACATTTGATCAGCCCACAGTCTTTAATATTCTGGTGTGGTGCTCAGCACTGCTTACTGTAGGCACTTTGCTGATCCACATTGATTATTACCTTTATGATGCTTTTGATGCTCGGCATAACTTCTTTCTACTTTCTTCTTATTATGGACTTTTTTGTTTCCCTCAACTTTCTAGTTGTTGCTATCTATGACTACGCAAAGGACAAAGAAGATGAGCTGTCTTTTATGGAGGGAGCAATCATTTACGTCATTAAGAAAAATGATGATGGCTGGTATGAAGGGGTATCCAACGGAGTCACAGGCCTCTTCCCGGGAAATTACGTGGAGACAGTTATGCACTATGCTGATTAACGTAAAAAAATTTTTTTTTTTTTTCTTAAACTTCAGTACCATGTCTAATCTGATTTTAAACTTAAGCGTAAGGAGTAACGTCTTCATACATATAAACTGTGGCTTTTACAATTTTCTTTTTTTTTTTTCCCTTTAACCCTAAAGGGGTTTTTAGACCTAATAAAGCTGTGTTCTGGGAAAACGTCTACCCATAAGTCTCAAGATAAATTGGTTTGTAGACATCACAAAACCTGGCACCAGTTTATGCTTCTTTCCACATCTGCAACATATTTTTTTTTTTTTTTCTTCAAATATTTTTTTTTTAATCCTCTGACCGGCGTGACTAGTCCATTGGACCATAGGGTGTAGTATAATCTCAAAATCATGAAACATTTTGTGCCACATACGTATGTTTTACTTGAGACATAAAGTATATTTTTCTGTGCCGCATGAAAAAACTAACACTACGTTAGAATACCATTTAACATTTGGACTTGAGTGATAACTGCTGGTCATATTTTTATTAGGTAACTGTTCATTCTTAATATTGAAATATTTGATTTTAAGGCATGCGTTCAGAAAAAAAAAATGTATGTACTGATTTTTTTTTTTTTTCTTTCAACCCGACAATGCTTCCAATTTATTGTAATTACCATTCGTCTTCACCAGTTTTCACGAGTTGTCAAGTCTTAAAGGTGTCCCATCTGTGAGACGAAAATGGTTGTGATCTGTATTTTTTTCATACTGCTTCACATCTTTTAAGACATCCATCGTACATTTCCCAGTCTTTCAGTACAGAAACACACCAAAGTTATTTCTCAATTAAAGCGGCCATTAGTCTTTCCAAGGTTTCCCGTGGTACAGAGCCAAAAGATAGACATATAGTGTTGTTTAAAGGCACAATTCTTCTGGAAAGTGGTACAGGAAGAGGAAACACTGGCGACACTTCCAGAAAACATATATAGAATATTTTTCTTTTTTTGTATTTGGAAAATGTGATCTTATTCTGTTTCCAATAAACTGTATTCGTACTCCATGATCAGCAATGGCGCTGATTTCACTGCATGACTTAAATTTGATTGGATGTTTTAAATGTATAAGCAACTGCACCTTTTACAACCTTTTAACATGAATCGTTTTTGTATTTTAATCAGTTAAATTACATAATAGCATCTATGCTGTCATGAGAGCGGCATGGCTAATACTTAATGGTTAAAACCACTTATAGGTGACATGGCACAAACCGAACTGATTTTAGTGGAAAAACATTGCTCGGGGAATAGGTGGTTTCTGAAATTGATTTTCATTTTTTTTTTGTATTGCCTCTTGATCTTTTGTTGGCAGTAAGGGTCATTGTTGTCCTACCGGTTGTTTTCTTGGTATGGCGAGGACCAGTAATCCATACTTTGTTGGAGAGCTGTAATTTTTTTGTAGTGTCACATACAAGGAGCGGAAATCTATGTACAAGAAAATGTAGAAAAAAAATACCCTGTCTTCATTATTGTTCCAAAGCCTCACAAAACCATCTGCAATGTTTGGTTCCACTTGCTGAGTTGGTATTGCTTCAGCACCACTTGAGCAGGAGATCTGCTTTCCTTACATGGTCTCGGCTCTTTTTTGTTGGATGCAGCTTGACTTTCCTATCCCATTGGTGGAGCTGGCACAACCTTTATGACCTTTAAGCTGGGTTAACCTGAATGTGGCAGCTGTTGGCTTGGCCAGCTTTTGCATCTATTGCTTTTTAAAAATTTTAAGGGAAGCACAGAGCAAAGGAAAACACCATATTTAACAGGATAATAGTCCCAAGTCCGGTTTAGTAGTAAAGTTGGATCTATGGGGCACAGTTGAGCAGAGTATATTGTTTTGTGTTGCAAGCAAACCATGAACCCTTTTAGCGTGATTTTTTTTTTCTTAATTGCGTATGGATTGTGAGTGACTTTTAAGCATAACGTTATGCTTATTTTAACATTCCAAAAGATTTCCGACCAATGTTGCATTGAAGGAAGCGGACATTGTGCCAAGATCTCACAGGGCCATTAGTATCGTAGTAATATTTCGCATAAGACCTGTGATCCAGTAGCAAAGCCGAATGCTGCTGCTTTTGAAGATAAGGGACCAACAGGTTGCATTTGAAGATAAGGGACCAACGGGTTGCATTTGAAGATAAGGGACCAACGGGTTGCATTTGAAGATAAGGGACCAACAGGTTGCATAAGGTCACTTTGAAGCTGACTAAACACCTACTACGAGCTTCTTGTGCAGTCAAGCTACACGTACCTTAAGACTTCACGGAGTGGACAAGTAATGTTTGCACTGAAGTGTTACACTGCAAGTTTACGAATTCGCTCTCTCTGACCGAATATTGCTGTACCCATAAAGTATTACACGCCGCTCTTCATAGGCCTTTTGGAAATGCTTTTTATATAATTGCAGAATCCTGCTCAGCACGATTTATAAATCATGTCATTACTGCCAATGTTTGGTTTTCACTGAGTTATTTAACTGAAAATACTTCTGATTTATAGATGGTGGGATTAGTTCAACAAAGTTAGGGAAAAATAGAAAATAAAATATAATCTCAAAGCTTCACTGATGTTTTTATATGCAGTCTGTGACTGGTGTGAGTGAAATTTGCTGCTCATTAAAATGATCCTGCCACCACAATTAATGCTGCTGATTTCATACTGCCCTTAGGTATTAGTTAGCATGCAGCAAAAGGGACCTCTTCTGTATGTGCTCACCCCCCCCCCCCCCCCCCCCCCCCCCCCAAAGAGTCAGACCAGACCAACAGCGCAGCAATGGGCAACGAGTGTGAGCATTTCTGATTGCAGTCCTATGGGCATAACTCACGACGGGGGGGAGGGAGAAAGACCACTGCTTCTTTTCCGCTGGAGCTGTTTTACATCAACAACCAACAGACCATTATTGGTTTGATTTTTGAAACGTGGGTAGACTAAAGTTGATACTTAGTTATGGCAGATCCTCAATTTTAATGGGTTCATTCCATCCAAAAATCATAATTAAGACTACACAGAAGAGGCTGTAGGGTGTTGTGATATATCAACAGCTAAGTTCTGCTGTTTTCTGCTTAGTATGAACCTGAGCTTTGCACCTTTAAAGTGCCCCGTCCCTTTTCAACTCCTGATACTTCATTCTGCTCTCCTCGCCTACAGAGCAAGAAGGAAAATCTTGTGTAAGCACCAAGTTGCAGTTTGGAGTTTACAAGGGGCTATGTACTTCTTACTGCCCCTATGTGACAGTGCTGGGCCCAGAGCAGCCAAGCACTAGCAATGTCATGTGGGATGGGGGGTTGTGAATCACATGTGTTCTTCTGACAAATGGGTTGGTGGAAGAGCCAAGTGACAGTAAGTGTAACGTGTATGTGTTCAGCTGTAGGTTTTGAGTCTCATCACCTGTCCCTCTTTGTGCATAGTGCTTGTGATAAGGAAGTGAACTCACTTGGTACAGGTGAGATATTGGTCATTATGGGTTATTGGCAGGGTACCTATGACACGGTGGATTATAGTGTAGCCCTAACCTTTTGTGTTCTTTCACATAGGCGATCTGACCAGATCCGCCTGTCAGTTTCTCAGGCACACTTGATCGGATGGTCCATGCATTCCAATGGACCAGCAGGTGTAAACAGACCACCTATCTAAGGGGCTGATCAGGCTTGCTACAGAAAAAAAAAAAAAAAAAAAAACCATCCTCTTCCATTTGGGGGGATTGGAGGCAGTTGACTGTAGACAGTGAAGTCGGTTTTTACTCCTGGCCACCCATAGAGCAGGGTCTGTCCATGTCTGCTCTGCATAAACTGAGTGGACATGGACCTGTCATCCTTCCCTCTCTGAACAGCAGAGAATCTGTGCGCAGATCCCCGGCTGATTGGAATACAAACTGCCCATGTGAAAGGGACCCTGAGTTGGTGGAAACCCAGACAGCAAAGAGAACCCATCACTGGGACAGAAAGTCAGGGGGCATTTCCCAACTGGGGAACAGATTACATTAAAGCACCAGTTTCTGGAACTTCCTCTCTTGGCTATTGGTGAGATTTCCTGCCTTGGTGACAACTGACTCCCCACAGGGAAAAGTTATGGTTATAAAAGCCTGAGAGCTGTTCTAATCATCCCATGTTCTATTCTAAACCAAAAAGATAACATTTTGGTGTTCTACTTCAAAGATCATTGTGACTATTGCAGTCATCTTGGGTTTGTGATGTCAGGATCAACTAATTAAAGTGAAGTTTAAAAGGAAGTGCAAAGAGTAATGACTGTGCAATGACCCATAGCAGCCAATTGATTTTCACTTAAAATGCATATTTCACAGCTATGAATGCAACTGATTGCTTTGGGCTAATGAACTTTGCACATTGCCTTATTATTTCTTACTTTCTCTCACTTAAAAAACCAATTCTAACCCTCACTGCCTTTTTGAAATGAAGCAGACTGTAAGAACACATTGGAAAGCTTGAGAGGTATATTTTGCCTTACGAAAGGGCTGAGCCTACAATTCAAGTTGCCCTATATATCTGTCTGTGGAAGATCTGCCAGTAACATTTGTGATATTAGAAATGTCGCCTTATCTGGACAGAGTACAACATGTTCAGAATGTATTTACAGTTGAATGTGCTTCTAGATGTGCGATACGTGTTAGACGTTTCAGGCCTTTTTATTGGCTGAGCACCCATGTTTATGTATTATACCTCTGACACTGAAAGGCAAGATTGATGGAATGGGGAAAAAAAAAATTAAAAAATCAATTCTTCCATTCTGGCAGTTGCTGCAAACAGCAGAAAAGTCTGTACACCTTTTTATACTAATTAGATACTGGTGGGCAAAATCCCTCACTGGCTCCTTTCCTGGGAATGCTCACCAGTTGTGGTTTCCCAC